ATAATTATTGTGAATATTTTAAATTAAAAAATTAAGAGTTTGATTTTGAATATAGACCATTCTGATTCAGGCTCACTTTCAATACGACTTATGTCGAGGAATGATTGAAAAGCTTTTAAAAATCTTATATTTGTCGTTCATTTAAAAAATATCATTAAAATATCATCAAAGGCATCAATCATGTAAACTCTGATCCATACACGAGGATCAAAGTAACTTGGTGGAGGCTCAATCTTGTAAAAATATCATCAAAGGCGTCAATCATGTAAACTCTGATCCATACAGGAGGATCAAAGTAACTTGGTGGAGGCTCAATCTTGTCAATTCTAATCTATATCCAAAAAACCATACTAGCTAGTGAGTGTTTTGTTTTGGCAACTTTAGACCTTAATAGGTGAATGATTGAACTAGCTAAGTGAGACATCCTTATTCGACTAAGTAAGCAACCTGCACAAAGGCACATGATATCTATTCAATTTGTTATTATGGGAAAAAAATTTATAAATTTTAATTTCTTGCAAGCTTATCAAAGCAGAATTAATTATGAGTTTGACCACAACATTCTCAGACAATATTTTGAGTTCTTGCCACGCTTATCGAAGCATGTGTTGGTTATAGTTCTAACAAAGTGCACGTCTTAGTACTTCATCTCATGCACGAATTACGATGCATTTGCACTCATTTTAGGCCATTATGAGAATCACCAATAATGTGTGCACACATTTTTGAAAATATTTTAAATTAGCCATATGAAAACTTGTTTGTATGCTTGCACGAATTTCAAAGCTGAATATCTAATTTGATAATCTAAAAATTCATGTCCTAAAATCATTTAACAATTAAATGCTTGCACAAATATTTTTTTCACCAGAAAACATGCAAGTCTTCATTTTGAATTTGTCAAAGCTTGTTTTTGTTCTATTGTATGAATGTTATGAATTCGGTGATGATTTCGATGTATAAAAATATCTTTAGTGCACGATGAAATGATACTTTTATCTTCAAGTGGTTAGAGTATAGTATGGTAGGATGCATGAGGATTCTTTTTTCCCTACCATAAAATGCCAAGAGCGTTGTATTCATTATACCATATTAAAATTCATTTTCTTTGAAGTTTGAAGGCTACCTACTGTACAATTTGGGTTGGAAGGTATAGAAAGTGTACTCGATTAGTCTACAGACTCTCCAAAATTTCTTCCAAGTTTCATTTCAAATTCAATTTGAAGTTCCATTTTTGCTCTTAGTTTTACATTTTTGCTATCTTTATTTAGTCATTTTTGTATTTGTTTAAATTCTTAGAGGTTCATTTTAAGTTTAGTTCAAATTCTATTTGAGTCATGTTTAAGTTCTTTCAAGGTATTTTGTCAATTAAAAATCCGACTGCCTCCCAACATCATGCCCACTAGAGGGATTGTATCGGGAGTGTTAGGCCTTCACGTCAAACTTAAAAAAGCATACCGGGTCAGTTTCTAGCAACAATAAAGTTAGAGGTGTTTCACACCCACTACACTTGAAAAAAATCGAGCATGGGCCTTCGAATACCTGCACAAGAGAAGTACGAATTTTTCTCTATGTTAGAACAACATCTATCAATTTCTTGGAAAACAAAATGAGTAAGAGGGGAGAGATTTCTCTCTTTAGCTTTTATTTTTCTAAAGAGAGTGAGAGGGATGAGGGTTTTAGAGAGAGGAAGTTAGACGGAGAGGGTAGGATATGGTGAGCTATTGGGAAGCGAGAAAGAGAGGTTTATCTCTCTATTTAGATAGAGAAATAGGAGGGAGAGAGTGGATGAGGGTTTTAGAAAGAGGAAGTTAGCTAGAGAGGTTGGGAGCTGGTGAGCTATTAGTAAGAGAGAAAGAGAGGTTTATCTCTCCATTTAGATAGAGAAATAGGAGGAAGAGAGAGTGGAGATGGAAATGGCTTTCCCCCTATCTAAAAAGAATATCTCTCTATTAGAGAGAAAGGAAATATTAGAGGAAGAAAAAAGAAGGAATGTAGCTACAACAGCGTTGGGGAGATGGTTTGTTGGGTGATAGTGCGAGAGTAAGAGAAGAGTATGTGTTCTTTCTTTTTTACCTGCAAGTCATACACTGCAACTTTCCCTGCAGGTGTTTTTCCTTTTTACCTACAGGCCATACCCTGCAGTTTTCCCTGCAGGTGTTCTTTTTTACCTGCATGAACATACCCTGCAGGTGTTCTTTTTTACCTACATGGCCATACCCTGCAGGTATTCTTTTTTACCTGCAAGCCATACCCTACAATTTTTCCTGCAAGTGTTCTTCAATTTCCTTGCAGTCAAGCCCTGCAACTTTCCCTATAGGTTGTTTACCTTCCTACAAACTTTCCTGCAGCATTACTTGAATAAGTCTAAACTGTAGTCAAAGACAAACGCAGTCAACTAAAAGTATCCCTAATGATCTTAGAGTTGATTACCAAGTACGGAATAAAGACTTCAAGTTCTCTCTCACAAAGAATCTTTATTGTCTGTTGTTTGATGATTTTAAATCCAAGTTGAACATGATTTGCATTTATTTCAACTTGAAGATTGGGTTTATTTCCTTTCCTATTTTATGTTGTTTCTTTTATCTCCAAGTAATTATAGCAATTGATTAATTGAAAATATAGGTGTTAATATCTTTCCCTTCCTGTTATTGCATTTTTCTTGTCTTTTTTATTCTATGATTGATGTAAGGTTTTATCCCCTTTTCATATTAATAAAAAAATTTTGATGAATTCTGAAAATCAACATATATAACACGTGAATTGTATTAATTAATTTCCTGTGCATTTATCCTCCACTCATGTGTCCCGAAAGTAAGTTTTGCATTTCGTGTTCACGCAAACACAAGCAATAAAAGCATCAATTTTAGATATTTTCAATTTTATGGGCATGCTCAAGCAATCTATTTTGCGATTGGACGATGTTTGGGTAATGTAGACGATCGATGATGTAAGCATGAATCGTGTGCATCTCATTTTTAGTCCGCCATTTTCATCATGTTTGCTCTTTTTTATCATGGAAAGCCCTTACATAATTTTGACGCTCCGCACGCTCATGTGGTTTACGGCACAAACAGGTCTCGTTTGGGTAGTTTCAATGATGATTGAAGCAGTTTTGACTTGCTTTACATATCATCACGTGTCGCTAGCCAGCTTTGTCTGGTCGCATTTTTTTAAGCATTTCCAGCATTCCATATGTGATGAAGCAATCTCTTATATGATTTGATTGTTGATTAGTTAATTTCAACATACTGATGCCTCTTAACCTCGATTTCCATAATGCAATAAATTGTTGTCTGCTATCTTTGATGCCTTCAATCATATTTTTGAGCGCAGCATGCATGGATGTCAACAACCCATAAAAAGCAGTAGCGTAAAAATAAATCTGGATCAATTTTCTCTTCTTAAAATACACAGAGTGCAACACTTTCAATTAAAAAACACCAAGTTAATAAACCATTTGTAGGGAAGTCCGGCTTGGCAATAGACATTTGTGGAGGCGTTATCCATGTGCCATTTTTTGGCAATTAAAAACAAGCACTTGATCCTTGCATTAAACATTGAAAACTTGAAATGTTGAGGGAATACCACACCTTGAGAGAGGGGCGTACAGGATTTACAACTCCATAGATGAAGAATACTTGATCATCACAATTTTGAATACTTAATTGGCGAATTGATGAATGTTTTAAATGTGTTTTATATTAAGCAATGATGGTGCTCTTGTTATGTGAGAAGTGTCAATCCATTCAATTTAAAAGGTGAAATAAAAAATTTCATAGTATCCACAAGTCTTAATATATTCTTGCTTGAAGTGACACTCGTATTGTTCAGGCACTCTTCTCTTAAAAGTGACGTCATTGATTGTTCCTAGAGTTGAACAATGGTTATCATGAACGGACACATACATGATAACAGTATGATACCGAAGTGGTATAACACAATAAAATTCATCAAAAATAAATGATGTACACTAGTTGAACATGAAATTAAGAAGCATGAAATGTTCATATCATCAAAACTAAAAATAAAACATCATAATTAAAATATATTTTTAAATAATAATCTCTTTATGTCATTGATTTTTAAAATCTAACATTTTCATTAAATCACTGAAATTCAAAATCAGATATAAAACCATATTCTTATAATTAAAGTGAAATATTGTGTAATATAATGTAAATAAAGTATTCACTGTGTGCCAAGAGTATTTCAGGCAATGTTCAGAAAGCTTTAGTATTTTTAAAAAAAAGTATAAATTGCTAGGTAGTATTGAGAGAATTAGAATAAAGACTTGTTAACTGTCTCTGGCTTAACCTGGAATGTCGAGAAGTCTAACCTATAACATGGAGTCTAGCACGATGGGATAGCCCTCTAAGTTTTGGTGCTTCTTCGGACAAAAAGAAATGTAGCTCCACCGATTTAAATATTTTTAATTATAACAACATTACCTATCAATTATCTACTCCCTAAATGCCCAGCTATTGGTCATGTTGCGAGATTGCATATATATCCAAACATGCATAACGTAGGGCCGATTTGGAATCAATTTTTTTTTCCTTTTTTTTTTTTTTTGATTTTTGCATGGTTACTATTTTGTTTTTCTTTTTCACTTTTATTAAATAAATTAACTTTTTTTTTTTTTGATTTTGCATGGTTACTACTTTGTTTTTCTTTTTCACTTTTATTAAATAAATTAAGTTTCTAAAAATACCCAAAGCAACCATTGGGTATTTTCATTGTTTTAAAAACATGATAAAATACCAATCTCATGCACCAAGTAAACCCACCCGGCATACAGCATCGACCAACAGTGCTCCTTTTATGCCACAAAATAAACCAATTTATATAATATTCAATAAAAACAAAAATTAAAAAAAGAACAGCAAAATTGTGTGAATATAGTGATATAGAATATCATGTTGATCATGATTAATGAGAATAATAAATTGTAGATAAGTTGCAGAAGTAAGAAGTTGAAAAGAATTACACAAACATACCATACCATTAGGTGTTTTCGTCAACCCCATGGCAAACTTCATGTACTTGATAATCAATTGTGACTCCTCTTCATCTAGTCCGGTAAGCTCAGGAGGACTAACATTTCAAAAAATATAGATATTTCGATCGATCAATAAAATGTAGAAAGCTGCCTTTTCATAAAGAAAAATTTAGAAGATAAACAACACAGTACAACTTGAAAGGGATGTAAAGCCCAGCTATAAGACAATGTTGGAGCTAATCTCATGTCTGTAAGAAAATTATTTGTGATAGAACTGAATATTTGCATTTTAATTTTTAGATATAGCGTTTCTATCAAAAATCTAATTAAATCATATTATATTGAAATATATTAATTGGTAACCAAAGCTTCATCATTGACTGGAGTGCTCAAGTCAATAAAAATTTGGGTAGGTTCTCACGCTTTACATAACAGAAATTGTCAAAAATTCATGGAAGCTACCAAAATTTAGCCCGATTGGGTCAGTGGAAAATGGGGAGAGCAGAGAAAGGGGTATTAAGATTATTAAATGTGTGCACTACAAAAAAAGTTAGGCACTGCATCATCCCCACCTCTACCATGGCAACCATCACATTCATACCCAATAATGTTTTTTTAGTTGAATTCTTTTAGGTCGTCGGGTCCCGTATCGTTCGAGGACTCATGATCCCAGGAGAACCTGTAAAGAAAGGAGGTGCAGAATGAAGAAATTGCGCTCTCCAAGCCCTAGCTCCTATTTCCTTATGAGAGAGAGATGGAAGAATATATATTTTTAAGGTTTTCTTTGTGTGTTTGTCTGTGCCCTTTTTTGAATGTGGCATAGCTCATCTATTTATGTGATTCATAGATGGCTCTCTACCGTCAGGGGACCATACAGAGTGAATAAAATTGTATAATTATAGGATATACAATATGAAGTTTGTCCACGATATTCTAATTGAATGGTGGTGATGTGAATACCAAACAACACAAAAATGGACTTGGACATATGGTTGTTCTTGAATGATGATCTTTACTTCGACGGTAGGTCGATCTCCAGGGACGCTTGTTGAGTGATCAACAGGTCACCTCAGTAGATCACTCTAACAACTGGTGTAAGACAGCTAGAACATTAGTAGGTAAGATTGGCAGGTCACCTCAGCAAATTATAAGAATTTTACCATTAAAGATGGATTGACTAAATAGAAGTTAGTGGCAGTATAACTTCACTTGAAATATCTACCACAAAACCGATAACTTATGGAACTAAGTAGGTTATTAATTAACATAAGGACCTATTAAAAAACCCATTTGAATCTTTCAATACAAGAGTGTCGAGGACCTAGGGGATCCGGTCCTTAAAGAAAGAGTTTATTTCTTCCTTGTCTAGGTTTCGACTGATCCTCAGAATCCTTTTCTTCTGGAAAGATTATTTTATTCTCCACAACAAAGGAAGGTATTAATTCTTACAACTGCACTCAATATCACTTTGCAAAAATCAAGTCACGTGAAATTTTTTGTTTGAAAGGGAAAATTGATAGGAAGCAATATTGATTAGTTCTTGAAATGGATAAATAAATATAGTTAACAACTGCACTCAATATCACTTTGCAAAAACCAAGTCACGTGAAATTTTTTGTTTGAAAAGGAAAATTGATAGGAAGAAATATGGATTAGTTCTTGAAATGGATAAATAAATATAGTTAATTAGTTAGCTAATAATAATTAGTAGGCATTTATTCTATAAATAATTCTATTTGAAGATATTGGAAAATAGAATGAAAATGTGGCAAGTTTCTCCCTTTATTGTGTTTCTTTTTATCTCCTTTTTTTCTAATTTTTAGAGTTGTCAGCATTCTCGAATTGCCAATTATCAAGATTCAATAAACAGGTTTGTATCAATTGATGCTCTCGTTGAGAAAATCTCCATCCCGCAACCATATTCTATCCCCGGGATTTCTGCCTCATCCATAAAACCCACAAGAAAGAGGCTTTAGCTCCCCATCAAAGAAAAAGAGATGGAAGCAACACAATCCGTGGTGCTCGAAACTCCATCAATGTCAGCAGTGGCCTCACTAAATAAGATCTCTCTTTACTTTGGGGAACTTGATGCAATGATAACTGAGGAGAATTTGGCGAGTATGTTCGCTTGCCTTGGAACCATTCTATCAACTCAAATCTACTTATACTCAATTTCATCAAGTCGCGCTGCTACACTTACGTAATAATTCGTGGACCTCTCAAAGTTGTCTCGATATGTGCAACCTCCCATTATTAATCATTCAAAAAGAGGAATGCACAACACAAGCTGCTTGGAGGGACGTTTAAGAAAAAGAGATAAATAATGTCTGACAATAGTATTTGATGACTGTTGTTTCTGCTAAAAAAGGGTTTCTGATAAAAACTTTATGGAGCTTTTTGATATCTCAAGCTTGAAACATCTGTCATTGTCCTTCTTATGCTCAAGAATTTTTTAAAGCTCTCCGCACATTCAGGAAATATATGTCGTACCTTCCCGTTCTTTCTATTACTTACTCGACCTTCAGGGCAAAGTCGTTTTACAGTACTGATTGGTTCTTAAATTATATTAATAAACATAGTTAATTAGTTA